GAGTGTTGCTGGCTCAACTAGGGTGGAAAATTAGGGGCCAGCCTTCTGACTGCAAGTCTCTGTAGGGTAGTAGTAAGGGAACAGGACCAATGCAACCTGCATCTTCTCAGGGACAGAAGTGCCAGCAGATTCTTCCAGACAGATTCTCTGTCATCTCCAGGCCTCCCTCTATCTTTGGGTCTGCCATCAAAAGTATTATCCTTCTAGCTCCTTACCCAAACATCTATTCCCCATACCAGTTGTCTCCAAAAGTAAAGCCTAGCTGCTATGCAGATTGTGGAGGAGTCCTCGCTCCTTTGAGAAGCAACCTTTTACTCTGTGTTCTGCTGAAATGATTGTCATTTGCATAGATTCTTCTGGGGCTGAACTTCTGGGGAACTGGAATTGTGTGTGAATTCCTTTATGGGCTCTGCACATGTGGAAGATGCTAACACTGTTTAGTTTTTGTAGCTAGAATTTTGGGAATATGGACCTCCACAAAGAAAGGTCCCATGTATTTTTCTAAAAGCATCTATCCATGTACAGAAGACAATCATAGGATCACTAAGGTTAAAAAAGACCACTAAGACCATCTTGTCCAACCATCAGCCTGTCTCCACTGTGCCCACTGACCATGTCTCTCAGTGCCACATCCACACATTTCTCCAAAAGAAGCTTCCCAGAAGGCTGCATTACGAGACAGAACAAGCCTAGATAAGCTGGTCTGCTCGAATCAGCAGCAGCTATATAAAAGCCTGGAAGAGCAGTGGAAAGACCCTCTTGCATCCAGACCCCTGTCACAGCAGACAACCACGTCACATTAATGTGCTCAAAAGCACCTTTGTTAAACAGGCTGACAGCTGCAGTCTATAAAATATCCTACTGGAGTGGCAGCTCCACATGCCACACAGCCAGCAGCAAAGAGCTGGTGGCAGGGCATAGCGGCTGCAGTCAGCTCCAGCAAACAGGGTGGATTTGTGAGATAAAGACTGCTCCTGATAAGTGTCCGTATGAAACATCAGAAGCATCATGCTGATTTTACCATTGATAAATTGTTTGCATGAAGGTATAGCTTGAAGATTATGAGGAACTTCCATCCTCATTAACCTCTCATGTCCCAGCCCTACGTGCTACTTGTAGAAGAGAAAAGAACCACTCCTTTGCTCCATCTTTCTACTGTCCACACATGCCATTTAGAAAATAAATAAACATTTTTTTGTTTTTTTCTAAAGGAGGTGGGGGGTGAGAACGTATAAACCTCTAGAGCTCAGAATTTATCAACCATATCAAAGTCATTGTAGGCCTAACAAAATTCCCCTTGTTAATTGGGAGCAGCCTGCAAGGAATTATAAGATAAAGTCAAATATTTGAAATGCTTTTTCCTATTGTTATACTGCTTTGCTTAACTGCCCTGGCAAACCTGCTGTCAGTTATAAATTTCTGCCCTGTGCCAAACCATCCTGGTAATAACAAAATGTGCGTGCTCCTGACTTACCTGGCTTGCTGGCCTCCTGGCAGGTTACTCTTTCCTACCCGTGCCTGCGGCTTGGGCGGTGCCCTGAAACAGGTGTATGTTCATGGAGGCTGCAGCCCATGAAGAAGACACCTGGTCGCATGCAGACTTCTCATCAAGGTTCCACCAGTATATGGCATCCTCAGGCTGGGCCTCTCTGGCATCTTCATGCTCAACTGCCATGGCACAGCTCCCCAGTTCCTCTGCAGTCTGACCCCTTCCCAGCAGTGCCTTCTACCTTCTACCTCACCCCTTCCACACCAGCTGCCCATCTATTTCAGCCCTGTATCTCAACTCCTGCTCATGCAACACTTCCTTCTCTTGGCTGTTTTGGAGACAGGACACCTTGGTGTAGAATCATAGAATCACAGAATCAGTAGGATTGGAAAAGACCACTAAGATGTTCTGGTCCAACCACCAACCCATCCCCACCATGCCCACTGACCATGTCCCTCAGTGCCACATCCACACAGATCTTGAACACCTCCAGGGACGGTGACTGCACTGCCTCTCTGGGCAGCCTGCGCCACTGCCTCACCACCCTTTCTGAGAAGAAATTTGGTCTGAGCCAGTGAGGCCCCTGCTATGTTTTCTTATGTGCCATGCGCAATTCAATAGGTCTGTTTTATTCTTTGATGAGAACGTAAATTCACCAGAAACTCAAATACGTCTCACCTGTCACGCAGTGACAGATTTCTCCAGATGAAGTGCCTGATGCACCAACTGCTTGCACAGCCTGGCCACAGAGTTATCTTATGTTTGTCCAGATCATGTGTACTGTGACTTCAGTGAATCCCCCCATGCATTAGTCAATCAGGGCAGCTGCTCCCATCCAGAGGACAACAAAATGTCCACATCAGTTAAGCTCCACACCCTACTCACACTGCAGCTGAGCAGAGCGGCATCTCCCCCTTTTGCCTGCATGCCCAAAGCACCGTGAAGAACACGCGTGGAGCCCCACGCCCATGCCCTATGGACTCTACGTGGGAAGCCATCCAGCCACTTGCCCTGCTGGAGGTGGCGGCCAGGAAGCCACACCTGGGAAGTAACGCAGTGCCACTGTCAGCCAGCCTTCTGCCACTCTAGCTGCCAGGAGGAATCACACCAAGATGGGATGACAGGCCACCCTTCTTGCTTATCTCCCTGACTCAGAGCTGGGCTGAGGTCAGTGCCTCCTATCAGTACCCATTGGCAACTGCCAGGAGAGTGCCGTGCACAGCCTCTCAGCAGTGCCTCCAGGCATCCCTGAAGTGAAGATCCACCGTAGGCATCCCTTGTCTGCATTCTGCAGGCAGGCAGCTCAGCATGGTTTCCCCCTTAGGTCATAAAAGCTCACCTCAAACATCCATTTCTCAGGGAATACCAAACTCCTTGGTAAGACTTGGGTTGTGTGCAGTTCCCTCTACCTATCAATGCATTTTGCTCCTGGTTCACGTGCAAGAGGAGTGGCCATATCTGCATGGTCAGAGACTCAGTCACACCTTTGCCCTGCAGTCTGGTGCCCCACTGGAAACTTCTCAGAGTAACACTGTTAAGGGATAAAAATCTCAAGAGAGGAGTCAGCTAACCCTGACTAGGTGCATCTTTTAGAACAAACCTAATTCTGATTTCTCTTTAGGCAACAATGACTTCCATACAGGTCTGGAATAAATATTTGTTTCATGTGAGTGCAGAGGAAGGCAAATTCTGTCCTGTGCACTGCACTGTGTTGCACCTAACTGGATGCAAGCCCAGCAGATGCCTTAGAAATTGTCCTCACTTTCAGACATGCTGCCTGGGGGTACTGTACAGTAACAGTGCAGTTGCAGTCTCCATTGCCTGCCGCCAGGTCTAACTGCTCTGCCTGGGCTTTCCTTGGTTGAATGACTTAGAGTTTCTTTCATGGCTCAGGATGTTTCTTGTGTGTTCCCTCTACTCGTACTTTTTAAGAAGGGTCAGGCATTAAATTGTGTGGTTTTATAATTGATGTGCTTGCACCTGGAAGTCACAGTAGCTATTTGCACCAGTAAAAACAAAGCACTCAAATGAAAGCTTCACTCATTTTCTGCACCACAAGGGAAGTCCCTGGACCCTGCACATGACTCAGCCGTGGTCCAAAGTGACTGCAGGTTTCTGGCATCAGCCCGGTGGTTTTGCAGAGCTGCCTGTTGCGCTCTAATCACCTGCTGTCACCAGGCAGCTGCATTAGTGTGGCAGGCTTTCCTGCCTCTTCAAAACACAGTGCTGACCAATGGGCACAGGCAGAAATTACTGTTGTCACTCTTCTGGGAGGTGCTGGCTCCCTTGTACGTCCTGTGCGGTACCTTTACATTGCATCTTCAGTGTAAACGTCAAGGGCTGAGATTTCCGACATGCCTCAAAGGCTTTGAAACTCATCTCTACATCATCTCCATGCAAGAACTGAGGAGGCTCAGGGGAGACCTTATCATTCTCTACCGCTTCTTGAAAGGAGATTGTGGCAAGGTAGGAGTCAGCCTCTTCTGGGTTAACAGTAACAGGACAAGAGGTGGTGGCCTCACATTGCACAGAGGAAGTTCAGGTTGGGTATGAGGAGAAATTTCTTCTCAGAAAGAGAGGTGAAGCATTGGAACAGGCTGCCCAAGGAGGTGGTGCAGTCACCATCCGCGAAGGCATTCAAGAAAAGGGTGTTTGTGGCGCTGAGGAACATGGTCAGTGGTGGGGATAGGTTGGTGGTTGGACAAGATGATCCTAGAAGTCTTTTCCAACCTTAATGATTCCTTGATTCTAAGAACTGCAAGCAAAAATACCTCCTTGGTGCTCGCTTCAAAGCAAATTCAGTTGCATCAAAGCCTCCTTCAGAGTGTCCTGAGTGGCAATTACATCACTGACCAGAAAAGCATGTGTTTGGAGCAGGACAGACATGGAGAATGGCTCCCCTCACCCAGTGTGTCAGTGTGGTGGGTCCCAAGTAGAAGACATCCTAACTAAAATATGTGACCCATGGAAACCCGGAAGGCCAAGTAAACCTCACTGCTGAGTGCTCACTAGTCCTGATTTCTTGTCAGAAAACCTAAAGAGAGGCCCAAAGAAGGGTAGGCAGATTGTATGGAAACTACAGACACCAGAATCAGGAGATGAACCAACTAGAGGGCCGCACCTTGAGCAAAGCGATGGGTCAGTTAGCCTGCTGCTGAGTACATAGAAGTAAGAGAAATTACCATCCAAGAGCCAGGTTCACTAGCTCAGTGGCTGCTATCAGATTGGCTGTCTGTCAGGCTGGTGCCAGAGAGCACAGTGCAAGGAATAAAATGTCCTTCCCTAGCCCCCAGGGAAGCCCTGTCTCTCTTGTTTGAATCTTGTATGAGCTTCTCTGGGCTAGAATACAGTTGCACAACTTCCACACCTGTATGGAGAAGTTGTGGAGCATGGTGTTAATCACAGAATCACCAAGGTTGGAAAAGAACTACAAGATCATCCAGTCCAACCATCTACCTATCACCAATAGTTCTCACTGTTATTATTTTTTTTTTTTTCAGAAGTAAAGAAACAGACACATATGTAAAAGTGATGGGTGTCTTTTTAATGCTCTGATGTTCTTCTACACCAGGAGGAATGCAAAGGGAATTGGCAGCCCCCTGGGGACTGCACAGCAATGGACGTTGTTTCACCAACTTGGTCTCTGCAAGGACACAAAATGAGTGTGATAGGATCAACACTGCCTCTAACTTGTGTTTTGTCTGCAAGACAAAACCCCTCAGGAACTGCAAAGAAAGATCTGGGAACTTCAAATGAAGAGGGTGATACAGGGTGACAGATGAGGAGGAGAGGAAAGTCCACCATAAGGCAGACCTGATTCACACAAGAATTGTGCACATTCCCTACCTGTCTCCAGCCAAAGGAATGTGAGATTACAAGGGCTGCCGGGCTCACCCAGTCTGGTCCCCGATTCTCGCAGGTACTACATTTCAGAAATTGATTGAATTCCATCTTCAAAGCGGGTGGGTATTTGCCTGGAGAGGAAAGTTGTTTCAGATCCAGATTTCTGAATGCAGCCCCTCCAGGGATATGGCATGTTTAGCCTTCAGATGCAGCAGGAACTCATGAGCTCTCTTCTAATATCTCTCCCAATTCACTGCCCTTGCCCTTGCGTGTAGTGCCTCCATGCCTTTTAAGAAGGGAAAGGTAACGTGTATACTTTAGTAGCTGCTCATTTTTTGTTTGTTTTTTATTACCTGCTTGCCTTAAAATGATCCCAGCCTATTCGGCAATTACAGTGCTCCTTCACAGAGCAGCCTTAAAGTTACCACATAAATCACAGCTCTCCTCACTCTATACACACAGACAGGGAGTCATAAAGAAGCTATAAAAAGAAATCTGGCACTTCTTCAAGTTATCATCTAAGTGTAACATGGTTGTTCTTTAGACAGGAAAGAACCTGACCTCATGCCTACATTCACCTGGAAGAAGAGAGGGGAGATGTACTTTTTAAGGTGGCAAATTTCTGCAAAATCAAAAGTGAATGGCACAGAGATGTCTGTTGGCCCAGTTGCCAGGTCCAGGTTTCACCCTGTCTCACCCCAGCACAGAAAAGAAAAACATGTCCCTTCTCTCTGTGGTACTGGGCAAAGGAAAGAGTTCAGAGCAGCAGGGCACTGATTTACAGCCCGGCTATGCTCACTTCGAGGACATGATCAAAGGACCCCACGATCCCCAACCGGAGCAATGGGAAGAAACGGCCGACTGGCTATCTGCTTGGCATGTTCAGCTCTAGCATGAGGCCGAGGCAAGTGCTTTGTTTTCACGGACTGGAGCTTCTCAGAGTGGCAGTTGAGGGGAAGTGACTAAAAACTAATTCTCAATTAAGTTGGAGAACCAGTAGGTGGGAAGTTCCACTCAGGCCAAAGGCCCAAAATCTTGTCTAGAGGTGACCTTGTGTTGGAGAAAGAAAAGAGCGTCAGATGTCCCCAAAGCTCCTGCTGTGCCCTAAAAGAGGTCATGACTCTGAAAGCCTGTGCTCGTCTCCCAGCGAGGGCTGATGCACCTCTTTGGAGATCCTCTTATCAAAATGAATGCAGATCTCCCACCAGATGCACAAAACACAACAGAACAGGATGCAGACCACAAACGCTCTGTGCTGTGGCTCAGCACCAGGCCACAGCCCTACTGTCATTACGTGATCAACACGTAACCCTGTGAGGCCACAAGTCACAAGCGAAGGCGGAGCTCAGAGCAATGGCTGTGGCCTCCTTCTTCTGGTCTCAGTATGGAGGCTGGGAACAACATCAGAGACATCTCCAGAGCACGGCTCTGCAGGGCAGGCAGCTCAGCATCCTGAAGGAAAGGCACAAGGCGTGTCATGTGCTGTGCATGAGGCGGAAGTGTTTATTTAGGACTTGAGGATAGGACCCACACCAAACTGCCAATGTACGTGGCATAGCAATGCACAAGGCTCCTCACAGGCATCGTTGCTGGCTGGCTCACCAAAACCTAGCTCACCACTCAGTGCTTTGTTGCAAAAGGAAGAGTTTTTTACCTCCCCAATAGACAGACAGGAAAACTAGTTAAGGTGACTAAGGTGACCCTGGTGAGATCCTTCCCAGCAACCACAGCATCTACTATACTTTAACACAGTGTTGCATGTGTCAGATTGTTCCATCTTTAGGACCATCTTGAGGGGAAAACCAAAGGAGTGCCTTTGTGGAAAAGACTTGTAGTTTGCAGCTGAAGTAGCGGCTCCGCCAGTTGCTGCCTACACAAGGCAGGCACAGCCACAGGAATATGTGGGCTACGTAAAAATACCGGGTCCCTCCCTTCGGGTGGCTGCCAAGAAAGCTTGATTAATGCATAAATAAGTGATTGACCTTCCCTGGTGAGCCTGGGCAGGGAGTGGTTAGCGGGAAAAGGAACTGTGATTTTGGGACATAAGTGGAGGCAATGGGACATACAGGAATAAAGGACTTGGAGCAGGGAAACCATTGTACTCACTCTTGGAAAAGAGCAGTGGTTGAGGAGGAATGACCCAAGGGGAGGAGGAAGGTAGGGATAGAAGGGGATGGAAGAAAAGCCCAAATTAGTTGTTCCACTGGAGTGAGTCTGCCTAGAGCTGGGGGATGTTAGCACCCCACTGCACACAGAGGAATCTTCCTGTGTCAGCAAAAAATTGTATCCAGTCCAAAGAGACTCTTGGGCAGGCCAGTCCCTGTGGACTGTTGGGGCATATGAGAGATGACAGTGGTTCTTCTGAACAGGGATAACTTTTACTTACAGGCCAGTCCTGCAACCCCCAGCTGTGATTCCTTAGGCTCAAAATCAGGAAAATGCAGCAAATCGGGCAATTCTACCTTCAGCGGTTTTACCCCTTAGGCTCCTACAGCCACTTCCTGATCTCAGCCTCTTAGTTCTAGTCCTTCACATTTATACCACACCACCTCCCAAGGCAGCTCACTTCAAACCTAAACAGGATCTTGCTTTGTCAGACCAGCTCTAGCCCCAGGAGTCACAACCTGAGGTCTGAGCCACCTGCACAACCACTAACGTCACTACCAGCTTAACGGATGTGGTAGAAACGCTACACCCATGAGTGGTCTTGACCCCTTGTGTAATGTTGCCATTTCCAGCTTTATTCAGCATGTTTCCTGCATAAACGGCTGGATTTTCCTCTTCTGACCCTCCATAAATATTGTTTCAAGAGTTCCTTTGAAAACATACAAACAATCACCTGTTTATGACTTTCACGCAATATTTTTACTGCCTTGTAATATGCGTACATATCTTCACGTCCTTGTTCAAATTAACATTTGCCTCAAGTGGTTCCCAGTTCTGTGTTGCTTTGTTTACCTCTTAAGCAACAGGTTATTGCCTTTCATTCACAGACCTGAATTTCTTGTGTCCTATATAATTTAATGGGATTTTACATGCAGTAATGAATGAGGGATTCTCACTGGAGGCCCGTGACTGCTTCACACAGATTTCAAGGATCCTGTCAAAAAGTTCAGCTTGCCAAGGTTTTTGGGTGCCTGGCAGCTTTTATTTCTTCTTAGCAGCATGATTTGATCCCAGGAAAAGTCATGTTTTCTCCTTATTACCTCTTGTTTATTTGTATTCTTTTATCTGCAATAGCTATAAGACAAACACTGGAAACTGCGAAGGGCCGGGGTGAGGCAGCAGAAGCAGTCACCTCATCTGTATTTCAGAATTTAGTGCAACCATAAAAACATTCCTGATAATATACTGGAAGTAAAAACTGCAATTACCGCGCCATCATCTCAAAGGCACCGAGAAATCACCAAAAAATGACAACAAAGGAGAGTCTCAGACGCCTCTAAATTTTGACGACATACAGCTACTGCTATCTTTTCTGTACATACTAGCTGGCAGCCTGTCTTGAGCAACCTCTCTGAAGCAAGTTGCAGACAAGTGTAGGAGCTACGGGCTGTTTTTCCTCTGCTCCTGTCTTCTGCTTGAAGAACTTTGCTCTCTCAGCAAATCCTGACGAAGTATATGGCACTTGAGCGAACAGCTTAACTGTAAACACAGAGCAGGACCAAAGGTGAGATAAACAGGAGGCTGTGAAAAGCAAGCAGCATAACCCAGCAGCTCTCAGTGATCCCAGAACAAGGGGCAGAGTTGGTGCCCAAGGGCTGGACGGAGGCTGATGTTTGCTTGCCCCTGAGATCACAGGACACTGTTCTGAAGGCGCTTTCAGCAGAGATCCATAGCTTTTCATTCTAAAAGATTATTTGATTGAAACGTGTTGGTTCTAATAACGAAATACTAATGTCAACAGAAATTTTCCCTGGCAAAAAGTTCTCATGAATTTATACGTGTCAAAATCTTATCCCAATTTTTATTATCATGGAATCATTTAAGTTGGAAGGGATTCCTCAAGGCCATCTGGTCCAAATCCCCTGCAGCGAACAGGGGCAGCTACAGCTCCATCGGGTGCTCAGAGCCCATCCAGCCTGATCCTGAGTGTCTCCAGGGATCGGGCATCCACTGCATCTCTGGGCAACCTGTGCCTGTGCCTCGTAGCCCTTGTTGTAAAAATCTTTCTTATATCCAATCTAAATCTCCCCTCTTATAGTTTGAAACCATTTTCCCATTGTACTTCCCTTTTGCTTTCAGCATGCGTGTAAGAGACTTGAAATACTGGAGTTTTATTTCCTTTCCTAAATCATGATGGACAGTTGTTATTTAATACTAATTAAAACACCTTATCTTTTTCACAGATCAAAGTGCCTACTGTTTATTTTATAATGAACCAGTTTGACACATTTTGTGTTTGACGTTTTATCAGGCTGTTTCGTTACAAAACAAACAAAAGCCACTTTGATCTGTAAAAAAAGATCAGATTTTTTAATTAGCACTATATAGCAGCTGCCTCTAATTGTGTTTAAAAATAAAAGAACGGAACGTTTCAAATCTCTTGCCATATTAGGCATGACACTTTGTTCTAAAACAGACAGTAATTATGATAAAACACAAAAAGGGCATGAATTTGTATTGCGAGCTGATGGCTGGAAATTCTCATATTCTGTAAGTAAGCTACAAACTGCAAAATCAAAAGATCTCCAACTGGAAATCATTTGAAAATCCACTTTGCATGAAAATTCCAAAAATAATTGAATTGACTTTCAGGATTTCTCTTCCCATGGAAAAGTTGAGGGTATGACAGCAGGTGAAGGCCAAGCAGATCTTGCATCATCGGCACAGTTTCTCAGGATGTTAGGACAATCCCAACCTTGGTGTTCCCATGATTCCTCATCGCTTCTAGACATTGAAGTAGCCACATCTGTTAGGTTCATACCTCCTACTCTGTATGAACATTGCTTAGAGCAGTAGAATCCCTTTCTTGGCTGGCACCTAACCACACTGCAGAGGAATAGCTATAATGCATCTTTTGGCAAAGAGACAACACTCCTTCCCTCTGGGTTCAAATTTCAATGCAGCCGAAGCATTCCTCAAATTCCAAGTTGGTTGTGGACTTCACACACCCGATCCTTTGCTTCTTCTCACCTTCTCTGTGCCAAAGTTTGGGCCAAATCTGGACTTTCAGTCCTCCTTTCCAAACCGAGACATGGGCTGCCTGAGGGAACTGCCTCATTCTCTCTGACTGTGTCTTCTCACAACAGCAGTGATTCACCTGAAAATCTCTGTCTCGAGAGAAATACTGATGTCTGCAGCAGATGGGCGTCTTCTCTGCTGCTGACTCGTACCCCAGGAGCTTGCTGCTGCGTGGAGTCAGATGAATGCCAGCCTTCACATCTTCCAAGGCCGGAGGCATGTCGCAGTTCTGCCAGCTCACCA